GATTCTAGGAAGTTACTTGAGAAGCTTCCTAGCTCTTGGGTAGTTGCTCGAGAAGCTTCATAGTTCTTGGGAAGCTTCTTGATGCGCTTCCTTAGAACCATAAGCCAGTAGTATATATAGGAGTCGAGGCTGAAGAGTTCTTCAGTCTCGACAACACATCTCTTGAAGCTCTAGCTCAATTCTCTTGGCGTTGCTCTTGTACTCATCAGATAATCTAGTTCTTGTCATTTCTTCTTGAACTTCTTGTTTAGATTTCTTGTTTGTATTTTTGGTCCGTGACAACAATGCTTTCTTGGTTTTGCTAACTTCTATCGGATCTTCATCAAGAATTATTCTCAAGTTGCTGCTCCTCTCACTCGATTAACATGCAAGGATAAGTTGGAATGGGGACCTTTGGCGAAGAAGGCGTTTCAAGATTTGAAGACAGCATTTACTACAGCTCCAATTTTGGTACATCCAGACTTTACAAAGGCCTTCTATTTAGAAACTGATGCTTCAGATTTTATTTTGGGAGCTGTGCTTTCACAAATGAGTGAAGATAAGAAGCTACATCCAGTTGCATTCTATTCTCGGAAGTTCTCTGCTGCTGAAATCAATTATGAGATCCATGATAAGGAACTTCTTGCTATAGTGGATTCTTTCGAAGAATGGCGTCACTTTCTTGAAGGAGCTGCACATCCAGTAACCGTATATACGGATCACAAGAATTTGGAGTATTTCATGACGGCTCGAGTTTTAAATCGACGTCAAGCTCGGTGGAATATGTCGCTATCTAGATTCGATTTTGTTATCACTTATCGACTTAGAAGGCAGCAAGGACTATCCGATGCTTTATCAAGGAGATCGTATCTTGCACCAAAGGCTGGAGAAGCAGCATTTGATCAACAATGTACAACGTTATTGAAGCCAGAGAGATTTCAACTTTGTGCTACTATTGTATCATTTAATGCTGACTTCCTAAATCAAATACGTGCTATGACCATTAAAGATTCAGTAGCCATTGATATCAAGCAACGTACCAATGACGACAAGTTCAAGGTGGAGGGAGATCTTTTATACTTTGAAGAGCGATTGTACATTCCAAAAGGACTAGCACGACTCCGAGTTCTTCAATCTCGCCATGATTTTCCAGCTGCGGGATATTTTGGATTCAACAAGACCTTGGAGCTTATTTCCCGAGATTTTTGGTGGCCCCAAATGTGGAAGGATGTGAAAGATTTTGTCCTCTCTTGTGACATCTGTTCAAGATCTAAGAATCCTCGGCATCGCCCTTATGGACTTCTACAGCCATTGCCAATTCCACGTCGACCATGGTCTTCAATTTCTATGGACTTCATCACGGACTTGCCATCATCAAACTCATTTGACAGCATCTTTGTTGTGGTAGATCGGCTTACAAAGATGGCACACTTTGTTCCTTGTAAGAAGACATCGTCCAATGAAGTCATAGCAAGACTCTTTCTCGATAATGTGTATCGATATCATGGACTACCATATGATATCATATCAGATCGAGGTACCCAGTTCATGTCAAAGTTTTGGAGATCTCTCTTTGGAATATTGAAGGTAGATATCAAGCTTTCTTCAGCTTTTCATCCTCAAACTGATGGCCAAACGGAACGGGTGAACCAAGTCTTGGAGCAGTACTTACGATGTAGCATCAACTATCAGCAAGACGATTGGACTGCATATCTACCACTAGCCGAGTTTGCATATAACAACACCCTCCATGCGTCGACTCAACAAACACCATTCTTTTCCAACTATGGGTATCATCCGAAGCTTGATTTATTGAGTCCGTCAACAAATAACAATCCAGCAGCTGAAGGATTTGCGAAGCAACTATCAGAGCTTCAAACTATGTTGAAGCTTCAATTACAATCCGCTCAAGAATCCTATAAGACGTCTGTAGATAGATTTCGGAATCCAGCACCTACTTTCAAAGTTGGAGACAAAGCCTGGCTTCTTTGACGAAATATCAAGACCAAGCGACCATGTGATAAGTTGGACTATCGAAGATTGGGACCATTTATCATCCAGAAGCAAATTAATCCAGTGGCATACCGGCTGGAGTTACCGGCTTCTATGAAGGTACATCCAGTCTTTCATGTTTTTCTGTTGGAACCTTATCGAGAGTCATCTTTTCCTGGAAGAGTGCAATGTCTGCCACCTAGTATTGAAATCGAGAACCACGAAGAATACGAGGTTGAAAAGATATTAGATTCACGGCGAAGGTGGAGAAAGTTAGAATATCTTGTTCATTGGTGCAACTATGATATTAATGAGCAAACGTGGGAGCCAGCTGAAAATCTTGCGAATGCGCCACAAAAGGTACAGGAGTTTCATCAACGACATCCCGATAAACCTAAATCAATTCGATGATAGCTTCTTTCTGAAGCTTGTTCTCCCAACAATATAAGAAAAGGAGAGAGCACCAGCAAAATTCATAGTTGATGTAGTTATTTTCTCCAAGATAGATCGTAGTTTGGTCTTTTGATATGGATAGCCAAGAGATAGATACTATGCCAATTAGAGTATCGCAACCGAGTAGCTCACGAAGGCGATCCCAAGATGAAGAACTACATATACCATGACGACGACGGAGGATACCGAGTAACCGATCACTGGTGATCGTATTTGAGATCGAGCCTGCTTACGATGGTCAACGAGAAGGCGTGTTTGCAGGACAATTTCACAATGAGGACACGGAAGTTCATGCTTGGTCAGAAGTCGAAGACGTGGGCCACTACCGTTGGCTTCAAGGGTCGATGAACCACTTACCTCGTGAACAACAGTTGGAGTTCATAGCAGAAGTTATGCGACAGATCTTCATTTTTTTGCGTTGGTACTGATCAATAACATTGCTTCTCAGAGACCTCGAAGCTAAAGGAGGGGATGATGTTAGGGACATATTCCTTAGAACTTTCTAGAGAGAAGTTTCTAGAACCTTCCAGAAAACAAGCCTCTAGAACCTTCTAGAAGAGAAGCCTCTGGAACCTTTTAGAGAGAAGTTTCTAGAAGCTTCTAGAAAGGAATCTCTTGGAACTTTCTAGAAGCTTCTTAGTTAATAGAAGTAGCTCGAGAAGTTTCTAGAACCTTCTAGAAAGGAAGCCTCTGGAACCTTCTAGAAGCTTCCTAGTTAATAGAAGTAGCTCGAGAAGCTTCCTAAGTAGGAGTATATATAGGGATCGAGGTTGAAGAGTTCTTCAGTCTCTACAACACATCTCTTGGAGTTCTAGCTCACCTTTTTGGTGTTGTTCTTGTACTCATCTGTTTAATCTAGTTTTGCCACTTCTTCTTGAACTTCTTGTTAGATTTCAAGTCTGTATTTTGTGTCCGTGACATCGACATGAAGATCTTCAAGAACAACATATTCTTCCTCGAATAGATGGTGAGATACAACACGTTTGATATCACGACTTGGAAAGGGACTCTCAATATTTGGTGATTTTGCTAAAAGAAGGAACAACTCTTGATGGTGTTCCAAATGTTCTATTCAAAAGAAGTTATGAAGGCCTCAACAATGATCAAATAATTAGGTGGTTTTCTCGCTCTGATATGGGACACTATCGATGGTTGAGAGGCCCTATCAATCATCTTCAAAGAAAACAAATATCAGAGTATGTGGCGAATACAATTCATCGCATCATAGATTTTTTCAATATATGATGACTGCTCCTCATGGAACTCATCTCTAGAAGAGGGGGTAATGTCACGAACATACTCATGTAAGTCAATAATTACATATACAAATAGGTAGAAGTAAGTAAAAGTAGGTAAAAGTAACTTAATTCTATAATATTTAATATGAAAGCTTCCTAGAAGCTTCATAGACGCTGCTTTGACTTCAGAGGTGTCTTTAATTGACTTTTTGGATTAGAAACGTGGTCAACAAGTTGGCCATGTGCCACACATGTTGTTAGCTTGAAGATCAAGCTAACTATGTGGCCCACACGTAGGAAAACTTGCCTTGTAAGTCAAGGCATGTGTCCTACAAAGTCAACACATATTGGAGGTCCTATAGAACGTCGCCACGTAGCCCCTAGTTAGATAGTATATATAGAGACAAGAATGAAGGCTTCTTCACTCTTGTCAACTCCTTTCTTGCTTCTAGTCCAGGTTCAAGAGTCTTTAGTTTCTTGTCTTGTGGCAATAGCCATTCCAGTTTCCTTTTAATATACCTACTTGTTTATATTTTGACTTATTATATCGAGATAGCCTTTGGTGTATATTTTTCCTCATCGAGTCTTTGTCCTTGACAACATGTTGTTAGCTTGAAGACCAAGCTAATTATGTGGCCCACACGTAGAAAAACTTGCCTTGTAAGTCAAGGCATGTGTCTTACAAAGTCAACACATATTGGAGGTCCTATAGAACATCGTCATGTAGTCCTTAGTTAGATAGTATATATAGAGACAAGAGTGAAGCCTTCTTCACTCTTATCAACTCCTTTCTTGCTTCCAGTCTAGTTTCAAGGGTTTCTAGTTTTCTTGTCTTTTGGTAATAGCCATTCTAGTTTCTCTTTCAATATACATACTTGTTTATTTATATTTTGTTACCTTTCTTTGAGTGAAGGCTCACTTGTCTGAATTGCTTTTTCATTGAGTTCTTGTCCTTGACACAAGACTATTTGGTCATCAAATTATACTCTTATGTGACTACCTCTTGGTAATACTTCTCAACTTTCTTTACATGATTTTTTTTAATTCCTAGATTTAATAAATAAGAAACACCCCATCTTTTATTGAACCTTTTATTTTTTAAAAAATTATGAAAATCCTGCGATCAATAATTATATATATATATATATATATATTTTGAAACTGTCACATACACGTACAATCCATTTCCCCCCCCCCCCTCACGAGGTGCTGAAATGGTCAATGTGAAAGGGGTTACGGTGACTGGATTGACGGCGCACAGCCGCGTGTCGGCAAGGAGCGAGGGATTTGAAAAAGCCAACTGGGCAGGGAAGGCGTCCCCTCCAAGGTACAATTCGGAAGCAACATCCGAGGCCCCAAAGGGTGCCGGGATCTCTGTACTTCTCTTCCGAGGGGGAGGGGGGAGGGTTTTATGTAGACTCCACAACAGGATCAATAACGCTGTTCACAACGCTATTCGTTCCAATTGACGCTATCATTCACTTTTCTCTCGCGCTTATGATCTGTAGGTTGCTATTCAGTTGACGCTATCAATCCGCTATCATTCAATTTTCTCTCGCGCTTCTGCTCTGTAGGTTGCTATTCAGTTTACGCTATCAATCCGCTATCATTCAATTTTCTCTCGCGCTTCTGCTCTGTAGGTTGCTATTTTTCTTTCAAGGCTTGAAGCATCATGAGCGTTGGCTGTAGCAGGAGGAGGAGGAGCTGCAGCATAAGAGTCGCAACGAGGCGCCGAGATTGACGATGGAGGAGGCCGATGCTCGAGTTGCTGCTGTGGATCCTGCCGCGGGGCGCCTTCGCCCTCGTCGCAACGGTAGATTTGACCATGAGGCGGGACCTAGCAACGTCGCTGGACCTAGTAACGCCGCAGAAGTAGAAGACGGAGAGATGGTAGGAGAAGAGGAAGAAGCACAAGCAGGGCCAGCACAAGCACAGGGAGCACAAGCCCAAGCAGCTCAAGCAGGACCAGCACTAGCACAAGGAGCACAAGCCCAAGCAGCTCAAGCAGGACCAGCACAAGCACAAGGAGCACAAGTTCAAGCAGCTCAAGCAGGACCAGCACAAGCACAAGGAGCACAAGTCCAAGCAGCTCAAGCAGGACCAGCACATGCGCCAAACGTCAGGAACAATCCCGTCATTCCTCGCTTCGATCACACGGCCGATGCGAGAACTCAATTCCACCAGAGACGCAGGATATTCAGGGCATTGATACGGCAGTATCGGAGGAATCGCAGGGGCGGTCATGCCGGTTTACGACCGGATTTGGCAGTCATGAAGAGGATGAACGAGGATGGGATTTCTTTGCACTGGGGGCAAGTTGGGCCTGTTCCAGGCGTCGAGGTGGGTGACCACTTCAGGTACAGGAGTGAAGTGTATGTGGTGGGATTGCACCGCCAGCCTCAAGCGGGAATTGATTATATTTGGCAGGGAGACGACCAAGTAGCGACCAGTGTGGTACTCTCTGGGGGATACGCAAATGACGACAGAGGGAACACTATTACTTACAGTGGACAGGGCGGGAATTTCTGCTCAAAGGACAAGCGCCCAGTGCAGGATCAGGAACCTGTGAGAGGGAATCTTGCGCTCTTGAATAGCTCAAGGCTCGACTTGGCAGTGCGTGTAATTCGGGGTCATGAGGGTCGCTCGAATCGGATTAGCAGGTATACCTATGATGGATTGTACAGTGTTGCGTCACATACTTATGCTACTACCAACTCTGGTTCCAAGGTGTACAAGTTTCGGCTTCTTCGGCTTCCTGGCCAGCCAGCATTGCCGCCGTAGCGGGTGGTTCAAGCCAATTGAGTTAGCGTTTCTGGTAGGAATTCTATGGAGAGAAATTGTACAGAATTGGCGGGTTGGTAGCACGATTTAGTTTGTGAAGTTCTGCATTGTAAAATGTGTGTACAAGCATGGTCACTGCAATTCATTGTTCAATGAGCGAACGCTACATCGAAATCTAAGTCTTACGGGAGCTCAATTTCAGGGGTTTTTGTTCTTTTGTTCTCGATTTTTTAGATTTTTGGCAAAGTGTAGGTACTGTTAGGGTGAAGAGTCGGTGAGACGTAATTGATCTATGAAACTTTTTTCAAACTCTGTTTTGGGTTATTTCCGAACTTGTATACAATTTGTGTAAACAGACAATGTTCTATTCCATCGCACTTGATTTTCCAAGCTGTGATCAATAAAATTATTTGCAATCTTCTCTTTTCATTTCTTGACTTTTTTCAAGAAACAATGTGAGTTGTTACAGAGTGAAATCAAATAGAAGAACAATTTTCCACAGAAGGATTCAATAGTAGTTTATATTTATTAATTGCAAAGTGGTCCTAGTTTTGTCATATCATAGTTTTGCAATAATAATGTACACGGGAGCGATTAGGTCCACCCTCATCAGTGAAAAAATGATCAACAAAAAACAGAAAAGAAGAAAAAAAGACTCAATGAGCCTATCACCGACAGTGAAGGTTCGCCACTACTAACCTAACATGCTTATTCTCTTGTCCGAAATTCTTGACCATTGCCTTCACGTCCCATTGGAACTTGAGCGCCTAGTATATCAGGAACCGACATAGTAGAAGAAGGATTCCAAGACTTTATGTGAGGTTTCTCCCTTAATGTGAGTGAGCCTGCTGTGAAGGAGTTCTCCGCAAACTGCTGGAAGTACAATTTTTCAGCCGTTGTGCGGTGAGAACCATTTAAGGATCACAAGACGGGTACATTTCGGCTACATTCCACAGGAGGAGAAGGAAATCTTGAGGTATCTGTGCAGTAGTCATAAATCATGTAATTATTCTTCACCCACAGGAGCTGCTCTGCTTGATTGTGGTCTATGGTTTGGTAGGCTGAAGCTTCCCACCAGTGGGTGGGGGTAACCTGGGTGCATGGGTTGATGTCATTAGTCACCACGCAGCCATCCAAGGTGCTGAAATCTCTGAACGACACGATGAAGGGCGCATGAGTCCAGTTGGTCTTGACCCAGCCATTTTGTGTAGCCCAACTATCTCCGTTCCAAAGGCTGGCGTATAAACCCATGGGCTTGCTATTGGGATATGCGATACCAACATCTTCATTGTTTTTGAAGAGGCGGATAGGCTTGTTGTCAACTGTGAAACTGCATCAGATAACGATGAACTGGTTAGAATAATTGCTTCTTCTTCTGCTTCAACGTCTCAAGGAAGCGAAGGTTATGCGTAAATCACGAATTTAGTCATTCTAAATGGGATCGAGCGAGGAAAAAGTGAGAGAGAGAGAGAGAGAGAGAGAGAGCGAACTACTTGAGCCATATAAACCAAACTGCAACACGATCTAGTAACCAAGTAGACCAAAACCTAGAGACAGATACAGGACATTTTTGAACGCAGGTCACATTCCAATACGGTACAAGAACTTCAGATTTGGTCGCAGAACTTAATGACCTCTTGAAAAACTATTGAGTTGATGTTTAGACAGACCAGCAATCAATGACGTATTCTGCTAGTAGCATTGGAGGGAACAGAGTGCTCTCTGACAACATCCAGTAGTATCTGTTACTGAAATTGTTGAAACCACTTTTACAGCATTGCCTGATGAGACCCTTCACTAGCGTTGTTTAGAATCCAATCTACAGTACTTACATAATCTGCTTCCTGTTCCAAAGAACGCCATAACTGTGGTAATCCGTGGTAGGATCAAACCAAAGGCTGATCCGCTGCTCCCTGCGACCAATGCCGTTAGCATAGACATTGGTCTGCAGACTGTATGGCTGGCCAGAGACGTTGCCCAAGAACTCAAAATCCAGCTCATCGTGGTTGGGTTGGGCAGACGACAGCTGCACATTCAATCAAATTCATCAGAAACTCCAAACAATCTCACTTGGTGGCAGAGAACTCAACCCAGGACTTCTTCAAGTCATAACTGACTTACATAATAAGCAGTGACTGTGCCAGCTGAATCACCCGGCACAAGCTTGATCATCATCGTGATGTTCCCAAACAAATACTGGTAATTTGATCCAAACCCAGATGCTGACCACACCCCACACCGATGCCAAGTCAATGCGAGGAATAGGTTAACAAAGCAAAAAAAAAAAAAAAAAAAAAAAAAGGGGGGGGGTGCGTGGTTCAGATTGAAACAGAACTCAAAACGATTGTAATCGTAAAGCTGACATAGATCAAACACGTGATGATCAATACCGGCATACTGATCCAGCACAATCTTGGCCTCCTGGCCATCGGGCGCTACTTGAACGTGATACCCATCTTTGGAGAAGGGAGTAAACTGCTCAAGGAATGTGACCCCGTGGACACAGCTCACCATAGCCCAACACAAGGCCGCAAAGGTGGCGACCGCCCCATTCCGCAGCTGAAGGGGTTCCATTCTGCGCCTTCCTCGGAGATTCTCAGTCCACCGAAGCTCACGAATCCACAATGCAGTGCGATATTGTTCACTCTGCAGGTCGATGTAGAGATGACAATGTAGAGCTAACAACGGCTCACTTCCCAGGAAAAATGTCTGATCTCTTCAGTTTCAGACTAAAGAAGTTCAGCTGTGTGTATTTTCCTGAATCCAAGGCACCCAGTAATGACCAAATCTTGAGCTTCGAAGACGAGATTCCAGCGGAAGCTTGATACACCCACCTCAGGACCAACACTCAGAGTCGGGAAACTTGTGGACCAAGAGGAGACATCCGCACAGCTATTGAAAAGAGTCTTCTTCGTGACACTAAAATTGCCGGAACTCCAATGTGGAGAAGGAACGCATCTGGAAACTAAGCTGGAATCCGAATCAGAGAGGGGCTTATGATGGGAGGATATCAGCTGTGAGATGGAAGATGCGTAGGCAGCAATGACACGAGGGAGTTTTCATGACGCATGCTACTTGCATACAGCAACGCAACGCAGCGTTCAGATTATTCAGCTCCAGAGGGAAAAGGACTTCACAAAACGTCGGAGTGATGATGACCACAACTGGAGGAGCCTGGCAATACCTACAGCCTTTGAGTCGCGGACGTAAATGCAACTGTAAGTAGTACAGCCAAAAGCCAGCTGCACAAGAACGATTGACAGTTGCTTTTTGTAGTCTTTATGCCCTGGATCCCATCGGCTCCTCGGTGGCGCATCGCAGCATTTCCCTCTTCTGACATGGGCCAACGCTTGGTAACGCAGGTTACAGAAGATTCAAACCCGCTCCGCAACTCGAAAATCCGACTCGGAATGGAGATAGACACTTCATGGTAGCTTCCGTCAACGCGGATGAAGGTAATCAGGTGACCTTCCAATCAGTTGGAGACATCAACACGTGGGAATGAAGCAAGGTAAGCATTTATATTCATTGGTGCCAATGAAAGGTAAAAAAATGAGGTGGGTCATTCACCTGGAGGGACAGAAATCGAGAAATGGTGGAGTCATCTTTAACGTTGGATTCTCGAATTAGAGGATTTATTGCCTTCACACTTTTTACTACTATGTCAATGCTGCACTTATTCCACTTTCTGTGGTTAGACTATATCGTAGAACGAAGGCAAAAGAAGACATTCAATGCTAATACGCACGGTTCGGAGTAAAGGATCCAGAACTCAGTTTCTTGGTGCTCCCTGAGCAGAGCTGAGAAGCTGAGCTTTGTTACATGCACAAGACATGTATGGTTTCGCTCCTCGGTTGTGTCGCCTGAAGCAATGGCTCAGACGAGGTGCTTAATTCCCGACTGACTCGAGATCCTGTCGCCTCACAAGGGTCTTGCGAAAACGCCTTTAGCCATAGCGAAGAAGTGATTCGATCCGTAAAGATGGAGGCGTGGTTTCCAATGTTTTAAATGAAGTCATGAGGGTTAATTCGACCCTCTGTTTCAGTATTAAGGGACCAGCACTACTAACGGAGGGATGTTCGAATTGCCCACAGCATAACTGTTTAGCTATCTAACCTGATTGATGAATCGATGTTTTCACTCATAACAACATCGACGATCAAGTTGTTTGTGTCGAGAGACGGTTGCGAATTCTGGTCTCTCAATCCCGCCGTTCTGTTCAATCCTGTACAACGAATCATACAGCTATCGCTGCACATCCTTGGAATAAGGCGCACTAAGAGATGATCACTAGTTACTGCAAAAGCACGAGATTATTAATACGGTGTTTCATCATTCATGGTATAATGTCCGATAGTTTTGCAGAATACAGTGCTCTTTGTCGATGTTCAGCATCGAGAGTATCGAAACTGCAACATATACAAAAACTCTATTTGGATGGAGCCCCTAAAAGAAGGAACAAGGGATGAGGTGGTTTTGGAGGATAGTCGAAATGACAAGACCTTGGTTGTAAGAGTTTCATTTCCCTAATTTTTTTTTAACACCGTCACTTTTAAGTACGCAATTTGCAATATTAATGTAGTTGAATGGACTCCTGTATATTGTAGCTGATGCTGTATACGTGTTAGTGTGAGCATACATACATACATACATATCTATCTATCTATCTATACATACATGTCTATCTATCTATCTATCTATATATATATATATATATATATAACTTAAACTAAAATTAGTACTTACATAATTCATTTCTTTTTTGAAACCACAGTAGAGGATTTTGTCATCAAATAAAACAATCATGTCATTCGGCCATGCAACAACACAGCTCATTTCTTTTACTTACATGTAATTATGTAAGCAAGTGAAGAAGAAAAGAAAAGAATATAAATGAAAACCTATCCATCAAACAAAATAATTCCATCTCCTGGCTGTTTTATTTCTTAAGTGTTTGTGGGTGATTGTAATTGCTCTAGCAGCAAGGGAACAAGTCCATTTTCTTTTATTCCCGTCGAGTAATTCATTCAACATCTCCCAGCTCGTGCAATGCAGGAACAATAGTGGAAGAATCCGTGGGAGTGGTGCTGAATGTCGCAGCAACCGATCGTCGGAGTTGTCCAACAAGGAAGTCGTATAGCATGGTCTGCTGTCTCCCCGGCCATCTGTACGGCGACGGTTACATTAGCCTGGCGACGCCTGCAGGGATGAAACGACAGGTACCAATTCTGGCCCACTACTCGGTGAGCTGCGCTCAATGAGCTGTGCGCCAGCTTAGAATACCCAGGGAAACAACGTGAGGGTGTCAGGCTTTCAATTACACATGCTCCACCACAGCTTCTCCATCAAACTCCAGCTCTGGTTTAGAGAAGGAGAAGGAACAATAGACAGGGTCAAGTGGTAGCCCACCCAAATATATGGTGGACCCACAGCTCTTTGCACGGAGAGTGTCAGGTCTCACAGGGAACACACCACCGTAGTCCACAACGGATGCTTCAAGTTGGCATACGCTGGTCGCTGTTTTCCATCTGATTCGTGTAGAAGAAGTTGAAGAAACCCCACGTTTTGCAACCTCAAAACTTGTAAGAACTGTATTGTGTGTAGTCGGCGAAGGCAACCAGCAATCAAGCGAAAGGAATTACTCGGTGAAATCGGAATATCAACCCTGCCCAAAAGAATATATATATATATATATATATATATATACACACACACACACCAGGTCGGATCGTACATCAAAATCCGTCATGGTTTCAGAGAGTGCAGAATGCAGCTGCACCCTTCATTTTGCATCAGGCAATCATCCCCTAGCCTTTTCTGGAGAAGATGAGACCATGGCAACCGTAGATGAGAGGAGAAATGAGACAAGAGCGGTGACTGGAGCAGGCATCGATTCTCAGGCATGGTTACGAAGAATCTCCTAAGCTCGGCTGGAGTGTGTTGCAGCAACAGCAGCATGCACAGAAAGATGCCTCCCTAGACACGCTTTCCCACCCGATTTGGCAGTTTGGCCACGGACTGAACGAGTCCATCTCGCGAAATGCCTTCTGAGCTTCAACCACATGGTTTCTGCGCCATCGCTTGCAACTCCAGCCTTCCGCTGGTCCACGTCCATGACACCGCCTACACTGCGCTGGTGGACTGCCACACTATGGACCCATCTCACAGTGATCCATACACAAGCTCTGCACATTCCTGATCCATCACCACAGCTGCTGCTCATCTTCTCCTCTTCCGAATAAACCTGCCCTGCAGAGCCTAGATCCACCTACTGTGCTCTAGTTCCTGAATCCGACGCTTTTCATTCCGAGGGTGGTCACAAACCAAACTGCTCTGGCTAAGCTATGGTGTCGGTGATTCATATCTGGAGCGGAGCTCTTGGATCGATGAGCTTTTTCAGGTGCAAAGTCCCTTCAGTTTCGATGCACAGATTGCTATAAAGAAACACCGTATGCCCGATGCATTGTCGATGCTGTTCATTCAATTCTAATCCCTGTTTGAGTTCACACAATCGTGATTTGTAGATGATTTTTTTTTTTTTTTTTTTTTTTTTTTTTTAACAAAAAAGGTTGATGCACATTCGCTTTCAGTGATATATTTGGACGTATGTTTTGATGGAATGTGCCTTTGACTTTGATTCTTTTTCTGTTGTGAAAAATGTTTAGATACAGTAAGTTTCTGCCGAGTGGAATGGTTTGAAGGGCTTCTAAGATGTTTATAGAATTAATCACAAAGGAAATCTTTGATCATTGATATTGTAAAACATGCTAGTTAATGCGATTAAGCAGATTTCAGGAGTTTACGAGCGTAACGATCCAATAATAATAATATTTTGAAATTTTAAAAACATTTCAACAATAGCTTAATAAAAAGTTTATTACAATAGTTCAAAAACCATAATTTGAAAATATTTATTTTTTTATTAATAATACTAATTATCTTTAAATAGTTTGAAAACTAAATCTACAAAAAAATCTGAAAATAGCTAATAATTAGATATATGTAATATATACATATATATATATATATATATATAATTTAATTTTCATTATTTAATTCGAAAGTTGAAGAAAATATTAGAAATATGATAAATGAATTATACTTTAAAAAATAAATCACATAAATTCTTATGTTTATTAGACTAAATTTGATTGATTTTTTTGAAAAGTCGAATTCTCCTTTTCAGTTACAAAAGAACAGAGGGAAGATGTTAAAGAACAGAGGGATTTTTTACAAGCTATATAATGTACTGTATTGTAATAAATAATGTTTTTAGAACTGATTTTGGAATTTGTGAATTCTTCCAATACAAAAAATCGAATATGAAAACTAATACCAAATTATATTATTGCACCTTAAAAGATGCAAGAAATTTATAATAATGTGTAAAAGAATAATATGCCCACCAAAAATAGGAAAAGTAAATAAATAAATAAATAAAATCAATTAAACAAAAGTATAGAATAAATAAAATAATTTAGTTTTTTTTTTTTTTTAAATGTACAACAATTAAAACTCTATTTAAATCTTGTGTTATACTTTTGATGTTTCGGTTGCAATTGTATTGTTATACAGAAACCCAACAATTAATATATTCTTTTCAGTATTATTAATCATTCAATATATGATATTAGAATAGTATTTATTATGTATAAATCAAATAAAAATAAAATTTGATAAGAAAAGTCTTAAATGTTTTAATAAAGATTGTAGGCAATCTCAAAAATAATTCATATGAACCAAAGTTGTAAATGGTTCTAAATTTCAACATTAAATAATCTTGTGGCTTAATAAATAAATATATCATATTATATTTAATTAAAAGAAAAATAATTGGCATTGTAAGAAATTTTCTTTGTAGGAATATATATAGATATATATATATATATATATATAGAGAGAGAGAGAGAGAGAGAGAATCCTTCAAAACATCTACAAAGAAAAAGAAGAAGACTTTTTTTTTTATTTTGGTTTGCAAGTTTCTTGTACCATGCAATTTTTCTATTTATCACTTCTCATAATTATCATAAGGTTTTATGTTATTCTAATACAATATTTCTACTTCTACTTCTTTGACTATTAATTATTTGACTACTAATTCTACTTCTTTTACTATTACTATTTCTATTTCTACTTCTTTGACTATTATATTATTATTTGACTATTAACATTGATTTGTGTTGTTAACAAAATCTTGAATTACAAGTAATGTACACTTAATATTTTTAATACCAATTCTTC